GCAACAAATATCAAAGAACATACTCCATATGCTAAACGGAAAAGAAAGAAGACTTCACCAGCTTGGGTACATTTCGAAAAGATAACATTTACAGATGGAACCGAAGGGTCTAAATGTGTTCACTGTGGTGAGAAAAATAAGAAACATAAGGAAGGGACGGTCACGTAAATGCTTAGGCATGTTAGTGATTTCCTAATATTAAATGGTGGCAAAGGTCAGTCAAAGTCAAAGGTTTCACATGGAAAGACAGATTCTTTAACTACGATCCATAATTGGAAGTTTGACAATACTAGGATGAGGGAGGTTATTTCTCATATGATTATGATTAATAATCTACCTTTTAATTTTGTTGAATATGACTTGTTTAATGTGGTAATGAAAGAAGCTAATCCACTATTCAACAAGATCTCACGTGCTACAATAAGACAAGATTGTGTGTCTAGTTATGAAGTTGGAAAGAAAAGAATTCAAAAAATGTTAAATGTTGTCAATCGTGTGAGTATCACAACCGATATGTGGACATCATGTCAAAATATACATTATATGGTTGTGACATGTCACTTTGTTGATTCAGATTATAAGCTTCACAAATACGTTTTGAGTTTTGTTGATGTGCCTCCACCATATTCAGGTGTTGGCATATATGATTGTTTATACAAAGGTCTAAAAGATTGGAATATTGAAAGTAAGGTGCTTAGTTTGACAGTTAACAATGCCAACACAAATGATGTGGTTTCTAGGAAGTTACTTGAAAATTTGAATCTTCAAAAGAAAGTTGTTGTTGGTGGGAAGTTATTTCATGTGCGTTGTTGTGCACATTATGACAACCCAAAAATTTCTATCCTGTACAATCAAACACTTCATAAAAAGTCAAACTCATTCCTGTTATCATTTAGCACAACTTGGAGTCTGTTTGAGCGTTTTGAGCCTTGTACACTTAAGGGATAAGTGTTGGGGCTTATCTGTTAGAGAAATAGCACAAAGAACAGACCTGGAACACCCTAACCAAGAGTTCATGGCCACCACCATGGAGTTTACGACCGTAAACTCCATGTTGGCCGTAAACTCCCCTTATATGGTCAAGTTTTATCCATTTGTTCATTCCTCCCTTTCCTTTGGCTAAAATCATCTCAACTATCATCCTGATCTTTGTCCCCGATCTTCAAATCTCATAAGTTCCTTGTCCTAACTAGTTGAAATCTTACATAAACTAGTGATCTTACATGATTTCATCTGTGAAATCATTCCATTTGTGTAGATCTTCAAGTTTCACCAAGAACACCAAGAACACACACTAGTATTCTTGGCTAAAACCGACCATTCAATCTCCTAGATCGTAAGTACTCTTGTTCTAACTCGTTGTACACTAGGTTTAACATGTTTAGAGCCTAGAAATCATAAGGAAACACATGATCCAAGGAGTTTACGGCCAAGGCATGTTCTTGGGCCGTAAACCCCTTTAAGTGGTGCAAATGACACCCTAGTCCCCCCTTTGGCCTTGAACACTAACCTAGATCACCTCCTTGATGTATTAAGGACCTTAAACACCAAGTTTTGAGGGTTGAATGAGAGTTTACGGCTAAGGATCCCCTCAAGGCCGTAAACTCCCTTAAGTGGTGCAAAGTTGATCTAATCACCTTACCAAGCCTTGGATCTTAGTATAGAATTACACCACATTGAACTAGGGACTTCAATCAACGAATTGGTTCTTCATACCATGAGCTTACTGTCATAAACTCATGGGGAATTGGTCCCTAGGCCGTAAACACATATAAGGGCCATTCTTGGACCTTAAACCCACCTAGCCTCTTGTTTAAGCCTTGGAACACTTAACCACTTAAGACATAATAGCATTAAGCCTCATTCGGAGACCCATTTTAGAGTTTACGGCCAGGAGTAAACTCCTATAAGCCATAAACTCCAATAAGAATGGTCCATTGACCATAAACTCACTTACAAAGTCTTGCACTTCTTTGTTGCAACCCAATAGTATCCTAACACTTTAACCAAAGTGTTTTCCTCACATTAGGATGTTTATACTTGTCTAATTAGTGTTTAAATCACTAATTTTATATATACATATGTCTTTATATGTTATCAGGATCATTGTGTGTGTTTAAGTCTTCACTTGACACCAAGCACTTGTCCGACACTTCCATCCGATCCACTCACTGCAGGTTAGTTCATACCCCTTAATTAACCTTTTAAATATTTTTAAATGCTTTATGGGGGGGGGGGATACAAGTTGAATCATGCTAGTTATTATATCAATCACATGTGATTAATAACTAGCATACAAATGGATTTACTATACGTTTAGTTGTTTTACCAAACAGATTACTTCAAATGATTTTCTCGAACGTTTTTACATGTTAAAACTCTTTATCAAACTGCTTTTCATACTGTATGTTTCCTTTCACACTCTGTTATAATTGTGTTTCAAACAAAGGTTTTCCTTATACTTAAATCTATCTTATCAATCAAAATACTTTCAAATCGTTTTATAAACTGACATCAAGTCATCATTTCTTAGTTACAAAACTTTTCAAAGGTTTTACAAACTTATTTTATATTGTTATATTGTCAAATGCATGCCTAGATATGTATAGTTATATAAATAATGTTTAAAGGACTTAGGACGACTAACTCACTTTATTTCCTTTTCCTTATGGCCTTAGGGCATCGGTTACCCGTCCGAATGTCGTCTAAATATTAGTTATATATCATGTATACATATATAGACATAAAAGTTCCAACAACCAGTTCAATACCTTTGGGTAGCAAATGTATACTTTCGGTTATACACGTACATTACTAGTAACAATAATAGGTATAGTTAGGAGATACTACTTACTATTACAAGTACAAGGAATCACACAAGAGTCGGTTCATTCATGAGTCTATACTAATACATTACATATTACATGAATACGCTTACATGAATACGTTTACATAAGATATGCTTACATGAATATGTTTACATAGATATGCTTACATGAACACGTATACATTAATACGTTTAATAGATACTATTACATAGAATCTGTTACAAACGTTTCGGGACTTACCGTTCCACACCCAAAGCTGTTAACTACAGTAGGGAAAATGATCATCGACGGATGTCTACAGTTGTACTGTTCGGCAAGTTTCCACGCCGTGAATATCCTAGTGCAAAAGGATACATTTTAGTTATTATATTATTTTCCCTCCTTTACTTTGTGACACATTCACATGAACGACGAGGTAGGATATATTTGATATAGATAAACTATTTTCCTTTTTACCTTTATATTGTGACTCGTACACATAAACGACGATGTAGACTATAACTTTTATAATAATAGTTAAACAAGGGAAAAACCGTCACATTTACAGTGATGCTTACTTACAAAATAGTCGGGTCTTGGTAGAAGACTACTTTCAAAACAATCGGGTCTTGGTACAATACTACTTTCAAAACAGCCGGGTCTTGGTAGAAGACTACTTTTATACTAGTAGGAAATATGAGATTTTCTAGGGTTTTCAAACGTTCACAATTACTTACAAACACTTTCGTACTTATACAAATATTTCTTCAAACATTTACAAGTCTTTCTTTACAGTTTTACAAATCAAAGACACATTAATACTTATGAATTCACCAGCTTTATTGTTGATACTCGTTTTCAAAATAACTTGTACTCTCAGGTCACAAATAGATAGGTACGACGACCAGGTTTTGTGAAGACAGAGCAGTCAAGACTCGTCTTTTATTTTGAACATTCATTATGTTTTTTATGATATGAAATAACACACATGTATTTAAAATTATACTATTAATGCAATGGATGATGTTGTTGCTTGTTTACTACTTTACATTGTTGTGATACATTACATGACGTCCTCCGCCCCAGAACATTTTCGCCGTTCTTGGTTTTGGGGTGTGACACACATATATTAAACTTATTAGTTCAAGATGGTTTGTCTGAAATTATATATATAACCACAATGTTCGTGAAAGTGTGAAACATGTAAATGCATCGCCGAGTCGGTTACATGTCTTTAGTGATCTTTCAAAGCAATTATCCATGCCAAAGAAGCATTTAATTTTAGATGTTAGTACCCAGTGAAATTCCACATATGCTATGTTGTCTACAGCCTTGGAGTTTAAAAAATGTGTTTAAGGATTATGCTGATAGAGAATGTTCATACACCACTTTGCCGAGCGACGAAGATTGGAAAAAAGTTGAAGATATTTGTTTGTTTTTAGCACTTTTCAACGAGATTACACAAATAATTTCAGGTTCTAGTAGTTACTTTTTATGTTTTTATATATAAATTTCCATATGTTTTTAGTCATTTCACCATGTTAGTAATCTGATCGTCTAATACTTTTACTAATCTTATTATTTTCTATTGATTTTGCATAGGCTCCGAGTATCCTACATCAAATCTATTTCTTCTAGAGCTATACATAATAAAGGAATCATTAGATGAATTAGTTTTGGATGGGAATGCTTACATGAAACCAATGGCTGTTAAGATGAAAAAGAAGTTTGACAAATATTGGAGTCCTTGTAATTTGTTGATTTCTATGGCTGTTGTTTTGGACCCTAGATACAAGACAAAGTTACTTAACTTCTCTTTTAAGGTAATATACTCTAATGATGAGGCATCTACGCATGTTAAACTTGTTATAGATACTTTGAAAGAATTTTTTGCAGAGTACGTTGAGGAGCATAGAACTACAAATGTTGTCCAATCTTCGAATGCAACAAATGGAACTGAAAGTGGTGCATCAAAAGAGGTCCGAGTGTTACGACATCAAGATTTGGTAAGAGTGTCAGAAGTGGTACTCCTAAATTCAATCAACATATCAAAAGTTTTGATTCTATTGCTAGTGTAAAGTAAGAATTAGACACTTACCTGGAAGAAGGGGTCTATATCAGTGAGCTAGGTGCGTATTTTGATGCTTAGGGTGGTGGAAGGAGAAAAAGCTTAAGTTCAGAATTCTATCTAAAATGACTACTGATATTTTGGCGATTCTTGTCACAACTGTTGCTTCTGAATTTGCTTTCAATGCCGGCGGAAGGGTTATTGATCCACACCGTTCCTCTTTAGGAACTAAGATTGTAGATATGCTTATATGTGGATCTGATTGGTATCGTCAATATTACAGACTTCATAAAAAAAAAAAAAAAACAAGGTAATATTATTAGTTTTTAAATAATAATACTTGTTATTCACAATGGACTTTACTTGTTTTTCGCTTGCATTATATGAAATTGATGATGTTATTTATGTTGATCTTTCGTGAGGTTTCACCATTTGAAAACTTATGAAGTATGATCATAATATTCAAGGTAAAATCATGCAAGTTAGCTATTAACTTTTTACTTATCTCTTTATTAGTTATTAACTTATTATTCATCTCTTTACAGATAATGCTTGTATGGTGTAGAAAAAGGTAAAGAACTTTAATTTTGCATTTTGGAAAAAATATTTGATGTGATGAAGTTAAAGGTCAAGCTATGCAGTTTTTTTTTGCAGAAGATATTTGAAAAAAAATATAATATTTTAAGTACTTTTGGATGTTTTTAATTGTAGGATTTGTTATAATATATGTATTTATGTTTTGGTGTTAATGATGTTTTATTTGTTTATGTTCGTTTAGGTTTTGTTTTGTTTTTTTTTTTTTTAATTTTATATATTTGTTCGTTTATGTTCATTTATGGTGGTTTACATCTATTCATTTATGTTCGTTTATATTTGTTCATTTATGTTCGTTTATCATCTTAATGAACAAACATAAACAAACATGAACAAAGTAATTTCTTAAACGAACAAACATGGACAAGGAAACTCGTTTTTTTATGCGTTCGTGTTCGTTCATTTGTTCGGTTAAACTTAAACGAACGAACACGAACAACCCTCGTTCGTGTTCGTTTGGTTCGTTTACAACCTTAGTTAACACCCAAATGATTTTAAAATAATAACATTTTAAAGTTTGAAGAAGGTTCAAAAAAATTTGGGGTGTTACACTGTAGGCCCAGTATGCATGTATATACACACACACACATTAGACGAATGTTCATGTGCTTTGCAGAAACACCTGTATAGTTGAAATCTTTACAAATATATTTTTTGAGTTATATGATAATATATATATATATATATATATATATATATATATATATATATATATATATATATATATATATATATATATCAAAACTACATAATCTTAATTGTTTGAATGACTTTTACCCGCGGGTTACTCATGAATGAAAATAAAAAATAATATATGGTTTAATGTTATTTATAATAAATTAATTTTTTAAAATTTATTTAACATTTTAATTTCTATCATTGTAATTATTTAAAACATCAAACGTTGTTTTCTATTTTTAAAGGTAACAATATAATTATTTATATATATATTTATTTTTAACTATTGTTATTGTAAGTTATTTTAAGCTACTTATTTGAAAACTTTTAACGATTATAAAAATATATTTAAAAAATACTTTAGTGAAATTGATATTACAATTTAGTTTTTGCATTTAGCACTACAATTTATCATTTTTTACTATTTATAAAATATTATTTGAGTTTTTTTAAGTGGAACTAAAATTTATATTTCAGTTGACACTATAATGATATATTTAAATTTACAATTTAAGTGTTTTGTCCAAACTGTTCAAAAGTTGTAGTTTTAAACTGATAATGGTTTACATACAACAACATTTTAAATATACATAAATTAATTATAATATGTTAAAAGTTAAATACATAAATTTATAAGTGGAAGTAAAGATATTATTTTAAAATTGAAATTAAGTTTATTTATGATTACACTTTAGGTTTGATTTTTATTTAACATTATTAACCAACTTATAATCATTATTAGAAAGACACTACAATTTATCACTTTTAACTATTTACAAAATATTTTTTGGGTTGTTTAAGCTAAACTATAATTTATATTTAAGTTGACCATGTAATATTATATTTAAATTAATAATTTAAGTATTTTATATAAATTGTTCAAGAATTGTATCTTTAAAATGATAATGGTTTACATCTAATAATATATTAAAACTAATAAATTAAGTATAATATGTTAAAATGAAATCCACAGAAAAGTACCAAAAATTTAGGAAAGTTTCAATAAAGTCATAAAAGTTTTTTTGAACAGAAAAGTTCCGATTATTTAAAATTTTACCCAAATTAACGAAAAAGTCATTTTTTATATCTAACCAGCAAATGACAGATTATATGGTTGTCTCAAAATAATGAGACTTTTCTATTAAAGTAATAATAATAATTTAGGATTTTATTGAAACTTTTTCCAAAAGTTTGAGACTTTTCTGTAGATTTTTCTATGTTAAAAGTTAAAAAATATAGGGTAAATTACACCAATCGTCCCTCGTGCACATGCCAGAAAGCGTGTTTAGTCCCTATTTTTAAAAATTAACTCGGACCATCCCTCGTTTGGTTAAAAGTTGCATGCTTCATCCCTCGTTAGTTTAAAATTGCATGTTGCATCCTTTACCAGACATAAAATTACTATATTACCTTATTATTTTCTTTTTAATTTAATTATGAATTATTTTGTAGTTTAAAAAAATAAAAAAAAAATAAATTTCATTTCCATCCCACCCAACCTTCCGTTATCAGCTCACAAATTAATCACTAAGACCACCATTCCTTTCCATCACCGCCGGAGCATCGACCACCACCATCGCCGGAGCAACGATCACCACCATCACCAGAGAAATGTCCAATAGCATCGTTGGAGTACCACTCACCACCATTTTTGTCGTTCAAAACCACTACATCTCTCTCCTTACCTTCCTTCTTCTCCAATCAGATACACATTCCTCTTTCTCATCCCGGATCTAAGATCTCCGATGAGGATGGTTTCAGACCGTTGAGTAGGATATCGAGGATGGTTTCAAACTACGAAGATATGATAAAAAACAATGAAGACCTGATGGAATCAGTGAAACCACCATTGGGAGTCTTGAGAGAAGGTAAAGGCTTGCGATCCTCGTTCTAAAGATTTGGGTCATTCCGATCTATTATGTTTCTCTAGCGAAATCATAGTCGCAAGGTCATTTAGATCGATTCTTTTTCTCCAGTGAAACCATCACCGATTCTGGAATCTGGTGCTCGTCTTCTTCACCTGTGCATCATCATCGTTCTCCATCAGCTAGGGTTTCGAGATCGATGAAGAAGTCGTTGACACATATAAAGATCAGAGAAGAAGGTAGGTGCAAGGTTCAGATTGAGGAAAAAGTCATCGAAATATGTTCAAATCGATATCCTTCTTCAAACGCATTCATATCGATTTCCATCTAGGGTTTCAGATCGAGGAAGAAGGCATGTGTAAGGTTTTCAGATTATGGTTTGGTTATAAGAGGTGTTGGCAGTGATAGATAGTGGTACCGGAGGTGTTGCCGGTGATAGGTGGTAGGGGATTATTTGTGAAAATTTTGGAGCTTGGGAAATGGAAGGGGAGGGGTGGGCATATTTGTTTTATTTTATTTTTTCTTTTTTAATATAAAAATGATAAAGAAATAAAAGAAAATGAAAAAGAAATTATTAAGGGTAAAATAGTCATTTCATGTCAATAGGGAATAAGTGTGCAAGAAAAAACAAACATAGGGACGACCCGAGTTAATTTTTGAAAATAAGGACTAAACGTGCGTTTTGACATATGCACGAGGGACGAATGGTGTAATTCACCCAAAAATATAACTTTATAAGTAGAAGTAAAAATATGAGTGAATTACACGAATGGTCCCTATGGTTTAAGGTAAATTGCATGGTTGGTCCCTAACTTATTTTTTTAACTCGGAAGGTCCCAACTATTTGTTTTTATTACGCGCTTGGTTCCTACTATTTGTTTTTGTTATGCACTTGGTCCATGTCTTACCTAAGAAAACTATTATTTAAATAGAAAAAAATTGTGGGGTAGGTAAGATGAGGTGAAGGGGATGAGGTTGGGGTAAGGGAAAAGTAATCTTTTTAGATAAGACAGGGATCAATCGCGCAACAAAAACAAACAGTAGGAACCTTCTGAATTAAAAAAATAAGTTAGGGGTAAACACGTAAATTACCCTAAATAATAGGGATTATTCGTGTAATTTAATCTAAAAATATTATTTTAATATTGAAATTTAGTTTATATATGATTACATTTTAAGTTTGATATTTATTTAACATTATTAACCAACTTATAATTATTATTAAAAAGAAATTATAAAGTCATAAGATGTTTAAATAAATATAATAAAAAAAATTAGGAAGTTTCAAATGAATGTAATTAAAGAAAAAATTTTATATATATATATATATATATATATATTATATATATATATATATATATATATATATATATATATATATATAATATATATATAGTCAAGATCAAATAAGAAAGAAATTTTTGGTAGGAAGGTAAGAAGTTTTTTTTTCTACATATTTTTTTCGTGAACAAAAAAATGAATCATTAGATGATTCATTTGTAAGATGATTCACAAGAAAAAATTCTCAAAAAAACATCTCGATGATTCATTTATACAATGATTTTGTTATTATTCACTAAAATTATCATAAAAATGAATTTTTTCTTAATTTACTTAAAAATGAATCATAAAGATGTTTTTTGGGAATTTTTTATTGTGAATCATCTTACAAATGAATCATCTAGTGTTTTATTTATTTTGTTCGTCAAAAAAATATGTGGAAAAAAAACTTCTAACCTTCCTACCAAAAAAATTTTTTTACCGGATCTATATATATATTAATTATCCTAAATTTTCCAAAGAATATCCCCGTACCCGTTATATCATGGAGAATAAGGCAAAGGGTAATGATTGTAAATTTACGGAGCATAAAATATTAGTGGGAGAAAATAAAGAAAGAAAATTCGCGATGTGTTACACGCGTCAGCATACAAAAGTCGTGGGGTACGTATGTGAGGTTGAGTCAAGCCCAGTTTTCAAATCAAGAGAGAGAAATAAATTACATACATCTTCTCTCTCTACAATTCGCACTCGTCTCTCTCTAAAACATTTTTTTTTCCCTTCTAGATTTACAGCTGAATTCTCTCCGATTCATCGCCCCAATTCTAGGGTTTTTACTTTTCGCGCTCGATACTGGTAATTTTTTCTAAATCGTACTTGTACGTTTACTGTTTCCCAATATCTTTGTTCGTCCGCATATGCATGTTGAATTTGTCGATTGTTTTCAGTCGTTTTGATTTGCAATTTCCGTTTTGTGATACTTTCTTTGTATAACTTGTTAATCATAATTGAATTGAGGGTGGGAGATTTTTATTCGAGGTTCGGGTTCCAATTTGGTACTTTTGATGAATTTGAGGTTCACAGTTCGTTTTATGTATTTTACCTAATTTCTAATCCTCCTTGCTTGAAAATCATTGTCTTAATTCATTGAATTTGAGACATTCTGTCAAAGTTTTTGAGTTGGTGGTGGTCTGCAAAACAGAAAACAGAACGGTTATGTTCATCTCACAGGTTTTGAGATTGATATCCTTCATGCATACTATTAATATATGCTGTTATTAATAAATTGAGGGCAGGATTCGTTGTTCTAAATATTGATATTTTTATGGGGTTTTTTTGCTTGTCTTATGAGGTTTGACATTGGTACACCTAATGCATGAGAAAAGTAGTATATGATGCAGAGTGTCACGAATGGATTCTTTCTAGCGTGCTATGATACAATGGCTGTATACTGATTAATGTATATTGTTCTACATTGATTGTCATCATAAACAGTGTTGCATAAGCTCCATGTCCTATATTGCCATGCGGGAAAATTCATCTGATTCATCTTCACAAGAACAATCACAAGACAAGGAATCACAGTCTGAAGAAGTTCTAAGTGAGGAAGAAGATGATGTTAGCAAAGAAACACAAAATGCTCAATCTTTTCCTTCAGGTGCTTCCCAAAATCCAACTTACTATGCTAATGTATCACAGTCCATTGAATTGAATTATAATTATAGGCACTTTACTTTATTTCAATACTGATGATGAAATCAACATCTTGAGGTCAGATAGCTATGGACAAGAGCAGCACAATTTTCATCAGGGAGTACCAAATGTCCTTCCAAGCAATCCAGAAACCCTAGGGCAAGTCCCACAACTCGAACTTGTTGGACACTCAATTGTAAGCTTCATTCAGCTTCTTTTTATATATATATTGTGATATTCTTTTTTTCAAATTCATGAATGTGCTCTTGTTGTTTGTGTTTTACAGGCATGTGCCCCAAATCCATATTGTGATCCATACTATAGTGGAATGATGGCAGCTTATGGTCAGCCTATGGTAAGATATCTTATCTCAAATATCTTTGTTACCCTCATGTATGTATGTATGTAAGTGGTTTGACCGAGTCAATGCTCTGTGTTTTGTAGGTTCATCCACAATTTCTTGATATGCACCAAGCGAGGATGCCTTTACCCCTAGAAATGGCACAAGAGCCTGTTTATGTGAATGCCAAACAATACCATGCAATATTGAGGCGAAGACAATCACGTGCAAAAGCAGAGCTAGAAAAGAAGCTGATAAAGGACAGAAAGGTCATTTATGTGTTAATTTTTGTGTCTTGCTTATCATGAAAAAAAATATATAATACCCATGAAATATGACAGAGAAATTTGTTTTACTGGGCTTAATGAGTTAAGCAGTTAATCTGGAAATCTATACATGACTTTCCTTTTGACTTGATATGGAGAGAATGACTTAAAAAACCTGGCTTAATGTATCAAGAGTTCAAGACACTAATCCTTTACCTATTGCCCCTTGTTTTTTCCTCCCAACTTGATTAATTTTGTGAAATTTGTTTTGTGGAATGTAGAAAGTAAAATGGTCCGTCATATAGTGATTCAGATGAAATAAACCTTGTTTATACAGACAGACATCATTACCCATACAGTACTTGATAGGAAAAAAGAAGAAACAAAACCGTATGTCTTTAAAGCAAGCCTTGTATGTGTTTGGTTAAATTACTGATGTACCCCTCTCGCATGATGGGGTAAAGTAGTATGTGGTTGATGAGTAACTTGTTATATTTGGAAATCTACAGCCTTATCTTCATGAATCGCGACATCAGCATGCAATGAGAAGGGTGAGGGGTAGTGGTGGTCGTTTTGCAAAAAAGACAGAAATTGACTCTTCATCAAAGCATGGAGGAGATGAAGATAATAATAATAACACAACAGGTTCAGGTTCGGGTTCAGGCATGTCATCATCCCAGTCTGTGAATGTGAATATGAATATGAATTCAACGGGAATGAAGCGTGTGCGATCTAATGAATCTGATGAAAGTTTGGAGGCCCATAATGAAAAGAGAAGGGGCGAATTGGTAAATTCACTGAATGCTCGCAGCACATATCATTTGCATTCTTCGGATCGAGGTGATGGGGGTTCTTTAGGCCAGCAGTGGATAAGCATATCATCTAACCAGGCTTCACAGAGGGCTGTTGCCATGAAGTGATGTCAGGAGATCTAAGGCTTATTTTGAAGCTGGCCGGCAAATCATTCTTGGCTTTTGTCTTATGCACAAGGAAGAGGGCAAAAAGGTAAATGTACCTTCCGCTTGCCTCTTCCAGTTCTTTTTTTTTTTTTTTTTTTCATGATCAACGTTGTGTACAAAGTATGTTTCTGGGTTAGAAAGAATTGATGATGGATTTGTGTTTTGTTTTGTGAAAATTTGTTTTTTGGAGGGGGGTGGTTGAAGCATTAATTTTAGGAATCATCCGTAAGTTACTGTTTACTGTTTATGCTTTTGGGTGAAATGTTGTGCCTGTTGTTGAATTTTAGAGCTGCTGTTTGCATATGTTCAATGTTTGCATATTGCTGAGCTTTTGGCAATTGAAAATCAATGCTTGTATACATATCTTATGGGTTATTGTCATTTTTTCCCTACAAGTTTTTTTGTTTTGTTATAAAAGGTCCTTAAACTAATTTTTGTTCCTTCTAAGGGAGTAGGGAGTCGTTCCCTCTCAACCGGCTGAACCCACTGCCACATCAGTTTTCTTAAAAAAAAAAAAAATCATCTTTCTCAACACACAACATATGGAAACCTTATCTTTTTCAACCTACTCAACCCATTCAAATAAAAAAAATACAAAACATTCAAGGGTAAAATCTTAATTAGCAATAGAGTTATCGCCAATACTATTCCCTTTTCAGCGGGTTGTTTAATTGGTTTCACTAACCTATTTCATCCTCTCTCTCTACTTTCTCTCTCATTTTCTCTTGTACCATATGTTTTAAAACTTGTACCTTAGTTGTTTTGTATTTTTTTTAATCGAGTGGGTTGAGTGAGTTAAAAAAGATAAGATTTCCGTATGCTGTGGATTAGGAAAGATGAAGAAAAAAAAAGACAAAAACTGATGTGATAGTTGAGTTGAGTGGGTTGGGAGGAAATAACTTCCTCCTCCCTAAAGGTATAAACTCAAAAATGATATGTGTTATTATAGGGAATATATCCTCTTGTTCCCGATTAACATATGAATTCAACCAAAACTTAGATGACATGGCATATATTATGCCACATGGACCTTATAATAAATTCCATGTGTATTAGATGACATGGCATATATTATAAACTCTTTGTTTGACTCTTATAATAAATTCCAGGTGTATTAGATAATCTCTATTTCCTTTTCATCCCTCCTGCCCCCTCCTCCTCTTCTTCTTGTCACCTTTCTCCGTTTCACTACCTTTATGCTCCTCCAAACCAACGATCTTCATAGTATCATTATCACCATTACAAACTAACATAAAATTTGAAGCTTGATGTCGCAGTGCACCAACCCATTTTGGTGAATGCCTTTTTTGATATTCTTTTGGAGCTCCTTATTACTCATCGATTTCATCCATGGATATGCGCTTCAAGTTTGTATATCATTATCGATTTAGATACCATCAATTTTTTTGGATTAAATAGTTGAGGAATCTGATTCTAGTGTTTTCTTGTTGTCCTTCATCTTGATCTCATACTCTAGATTTTGCTCAAATCAATGATTAACAATATACATTGAAGTTGGATTATGGGTTAAATATATTAATCAATTGTCATTGGTAATTTAACCAATTTAACTGGGGAGAGGTACCAAATTATATACCCTCAAAGGGAAACTGGGTGCAAAGACTGGGGTGGTTATTCTCTTTGGAGAGGTTTTGATCTTGGGTCTTCGTGACTAGGTGTCATGGTGGCACCAACTAAGAAGAAGTTTGATTATGGAACCAATTTTCTGGAAATCGATTGTTGATTTTCTTTCACTGGGGTGTTCTTGCTCATTTTGCATCTGGTTCTCGATTGAACTTTTGGGTTTTGATGCCAGCTTCGAATATTTGAGTTTTAATGGTTGATGTTCTCAGCATCATATAACTTAATCTGGTTTGAACGAATGAGGGTGAAGAAAGGTTCGCTTGATGCTTCACTAATTTTTTAAAGTAGATGGAGTGAAATGAATCGATCATTGATGTTCTTTCACTGGGGTATTATTGACCATTTTTTGCATTTGGGTATGGGTCTCAATCGTATTTTTGGGTTGCGATGATATTTGAGTTTCAATGGTTGATATTTTCAACTTCATGTAACTTGATCTAGTTTGAAGGAATGAGGGTGAAAATGGTTCATTTGATTAATAGCTAATTTTGTGATGCAGATGGAGCGAAAATGGGTCGTTATTGGCTATTAATAAGGAACGATAATGGAATTTTCGATGGGAGCACTAAGCTTTTGATTCAATTTGAAAGAATGGTGAATTGGTTGAAACTTCTATTGCAACTTCATCGCATAATGAAAATGAAGAACTTGGTTTAAGAGGTCTTTTGCAACTTGAGAATGATAAGGAGAGGGATAAAGGAGAAGAAAAAGCAAATGATGGAATGGAAAGAGATCAACAGTCAACTGAAAATCGATCTATGTGGATATGTCCACATGGATATGGAAAACTTTAACTATCAAAAGTCAGTGTACACATAAACAATGTAACAGGTAAACCTACTAACTTTAAACAAAATGATATGTTAGACAAATAAATTTCAAGTTTAATGATTTAATGGGTCCAAAAAATAGTTAGATGGTCATTTAAAGCCAATGGTGAAATTTTCATGTGCTTTCATATAAGTATATCTTATAATTAAAGGAGTTACTATATATGAACTATACCAATTGTTTAAAAAACATAAAACATTAGAAATTGTTTTTGATATATCTTTCTCTTTACATAATGGATATTCGTATTTGTAATTATTTGTGTTGAAAATTTAAAGTTGTCGTTAATAACGTAAATACGTAGATCTAATTAAAGTTCTATTAGAAATGACAATATTATACTTATTTTAGATCTAATTAAAGTTCTATTAGAAATGACAATTATATTCTTATATTATTATTATTTTTTTCATACTTATAATTGTTTGTGTTGAAATTTTGAAGTTATTGTTAATAAGTAAATACATAGATCTAATTAAAGTTCTATTAGAAGTGACAATATTATCCTTATTTTTTCGTATCTATAATCGTTTGTGCTGAAAATTTGAAGTTGTGTAAATACAATTTACATTGGATCTAATTAAAATTCTGGAAGTGACAAATTTTACTTATTTTGAAATTACTTAAATAAAAATAATAAGTACTATAATTTATTTTGAAGAAGAAGACCCTAGTTCCCTTTTATCTAAATCCATTGGAAGCCGATTGCCGCTAGCAAAATCTCCCGAAGAGCATCCAGTTTGATCAGCCATCCCAGTAGTTGCCATGAAAGGCGATCATAGATCGCTTCTACTTGCTACAGTCCTAATTTCATCACTACTACTTTCGGCTTTCATACACGATACAAGAGCTGAAGTCATAACCCTAACTGAAAGTACCTTCTCCGACAAGGTAATTTATGATCTCTTAGTTTATCCCCTATTGTTAATTTCTGATGTTCGATTATGATTTTTTTGCTCTAAGATCTCGGATTATCCGGTATCTTCTGTGGTATCAATGCCTTAGTTCATACTTCCTTATCGTTTTGGATAAATTTTATTTTTGAATGTGGATGTATTTTTAATATGATCACACATAGTTGTGATCTTCAATGACAATGTTAACTGGATTTCCAAACCTTTGTACTGCGTTTTGTTTATCAAATTATCATTTCTAGATTCTTATAAACTACTGATGCAATTAAGTAGTCGGATTGACCTAAATCTGTCTCTCTATCGACAGTAGAGCTAGCATTAGTTTAGACTTGTCATCTTAATCTCTACTTGTTCTTTTGCTTCGTGTGTGCTTAGTTTCTTTCCTTTTTCTTATGCTTCTTCATATAGGTAAAAGAGAAAGACACTGCTTGGTTTGTGAAATTCTGTGTTCCTTGGTGCAAGCATTGGTGAGTAATCATTTCCATTTATCCTTGTGTCACATAATTGATTTTGGTAATTAGTTTGAGATTTATATTTGAGTTGTTGTAATTTGCTGCAACATTACAGTAAGAAGTTGGGTTCTTTGTGGGAGGATCTTGGAAAGACAATGGAAGGGGAGGATGAAATAGAGGTTGGTGAAGTGGACTGTGGTACTAATAAACCTCTTTGTTCAAAAGTTAAAATCGGATCGTATCCCTCATTCAAGCTTTTCTATAATGGAGAAGAAGTTGCCAGATATCGAGGTACACTTTTGCTTTAATCTTTTCTTAGACACGAAGTTCTGCCACTTTTTTAAACATGCAATTAGATTTCTTCACATCACAGAAGTTTCTGCAACCTCATTGAATGAAACTTATGGGGTTCCATTGAATCAAGATTCGTTTTCTAAAGGCCTTCAATTTAATTAGCAAAATAAGACAATGAAACAATGAATCGAGTTAATTCTGTGAATAAGAACCTTCATGGAGGGGGATTCATTAGTGGATCATGAAGTATGTTCTAGTAAGAATTGTTTATAACATACTTTATATTTAACAATTATATCATGTGAGCATATAAGCTAGCTATTTAAAAAGCCATTTGATATAGTTTGTTGATAAGCTCATGGGGCTTTTTTTACAAGTTTTCCACGTACACCATTAGTATATTTCTAAATAATAACGAAAGTATATATTTTATTTTATTAAAAGTATTTAAGATTTCTAGCAGTTTATCCAACAGTTGTATTACATTATATTTCAGCTACTTGTTTCGTTCTTCTCAAAATAAAAAAGAAGGAATATACTTGGTGAAAATTTATTTTGTTATTTTACCATGTGTCGTATCTGGAGATGTAGTTTTGTACAAGAGTATTGCAATTTTAAAAATTATGTATCAAATCATTGTGTTTCTAAACTTAATTACCTAAACGTCTTAGAAATGCTTTTGACACCATGGTAAATTTGTAATCATCAAAAATAAAAACAAATGGGCCCTACAACCCAAAATAAGATTAGTGTTGTCCCCGAAAACCATCCTTATTTTCAGTTAGGGAAAATGAAATTTATTATTTATTTTAATAATGTTTCTTACAATATAATGTTCGTTTTTTATTATATATCTAAATTTCTTTTTCTGTCATTTTACATTTGTCATGTAACTTATCAGCTAGTTTTCTACCAAACATTATTACTTTATCAGGTAGCTTTTCAGCTAGTCTGTCAAACACAACCATTGTCTTTTGTTGTCTGTAAAAAGTAAAAACTCATGTCACGTTTTGTTATGTGCCTAGATTATAAGATTACTAATAAAGTATATGCATAAGACTCCCACTGTATTTACCTTAAAATCACTCACATTAGACTTTGAATCATCCTTTGGTAAACCATTATTAACCTGATTGTTGATTATCAGAAATTTGGTTGTGTATGTAATGTGGTGGACATAAAATGAAATGTTTAGGTGCAAAGAATGTTGAGTCGATGAAAACATTTGTTTTAGAAGAGACAGAAAAAGCAACACTGAATGCACAGCTAGAGGACGATAAAGATTTATGATCTACCTTACACTTTCAGTTTCAGGTATTATTATTATTATTATTATTATTTCCAGATACCTTTTGTATTAAACTTTTTTTATATCTTTAATTTTTTATATTTGTGCCAATATATGAAACAGGAGGTCTATCTGAAAATTATCCGAGCAGACATACACTAGTTTCATGACATTATTTTATAGTTGTACAACATTATTGGCGATCACGCAGCTAATATTTTATTTTGATAGAAACTGTTTTGGGGATGAACTATTATTATGCATTTTCTTTCCCCCAATTTTTTATTTTTATTTTTTTGTACTGTTGTCATTGTAGACCTTGCAATCAGAGTTTTGTGATGGGGCAATAGTTTTCTGTTATGCGAATTAGATCATATATGGTATGGGAGCCAGGAAAATTAAATTATGATTGGTTGCTCAAGATAGAATCCGGAGAAAAAGTATATAAACCGATAGATCTTTGTAATTTTTTTTTCTGCGAGTGTATAAGTTGAGCTTTACCTTAAAATCCATGAATCGGACACTTATTGACATGAAAATACAAAACATCTGGATATTTTCGATAATAAACGGATAATGGTGAAGTTGTATATCTATTTTTCACAAATAAAACAAATATTATAATCCACAATGTGAAAACCATTCTTATTTAAGATAACAGTTGTAAATCAAATATTATAATGCACAATGTGAAAACCGCTCTTATGTAAGATAACAATTGTAAATTTTTGTATCTATAAGCTATATACACAAACCTTAAAGTATATATTATTGATTCTTTACAAAAGCTACATCATACTATGGAATGAACTGTTACAAAAAAAAAAAACCCATAAGCTAACAGGTAGTGGAAAACACTTGGGAGACTGTAAAAACACGTGTCACTGTCTCCTGTACATAAACTAGTACACTGATATAGGATGTGCCTTAATCATCATTTTTTCCAAACATTAAAACCGCCTGAAATAAATATATTGGTATTTTGTGTCAGTGTTACGTTGTTAAATTTGTAGGTGATCTCATCGAAAGATGGAAAATAATGATTATTGAAGAACCTCTTTAATCTTGGTTACTACTCTCTAGTAGTTCATAGACACTAAATTTGTACTCCAACCAGATCAACACAATCTGTTCTTTGATCAAAATGGGCTTCCCCAAGCATTTCATTATTTATTCTTCTCACTCTACCATCTCTTTTAGCAATGGCATCGACACAACCTACTGCACCAAAATCATACCCTATTTCGTGAATATATATAGGAGCAGAAGATAACAATTTAATCACATTTTCAGATGTACCCATCAAACCAAACAAGGAATTCCATTACATACTTGCATTTGCAATTTTGATTATATCAATTCATCTTCTCCCTCACCAACAAATGGTTAATGGTGAATTCAAAATGTTCTGGGATACTGATAATCTCAGCCATTCTCAAGTTTCTTCAATCAAGAGTCAACATGGTAATGTCAAAGTAGCTTTAAGCTAAAAGTGGACAAACCTGTAATTTTAGCGCTTCATGAGTTTGGCATGATTCCTACATAATCTTTATGGCCCATTGCCATCATACAAGTTTCTATAATTGACTTGAAGTTCATATTCAAGCTTCCTGTAAGCAGACCGATCCACCAACCTTTTCTCCTGCAATTCCTTAAGCAAATTTACAGCATCTCCACACCTCTGTTGTCTGCATAACTCATCAACCACAGTCTTATACGTAATGTAATCACCCAACCTTTCGTTTCCAATCATCTCCCACAAGTAACTCACTGATTCATCGATTTCTCCTTCAAGTGCAAACGAACTCACAAGCGAGTTATACGATTTACTGCTTGGAACAAAACCCTTTGCCTTCATCTCATCACAAATCTTCCTAGCATTACATGTTCTTCCTTGAGAACATAAACCATGGATCAAGTAATCAAAAGTAAACGAATTCGGTACACAATCATAAACCACCCCCATCTGATGGTATAATCGAAGCGCGTCATTGACATGAAGGGAGAGAACGTACCCTTTGATCATGGAATTCAAAGCGAAGATGTCAGGATCGATCCCATCATCAACCATCTGCTTGAACAACATGCTCATGGTATCCATATACATATGATTTATGTAGGTATTGCTTCTCCTGCTCAAAAACGAAGTGAATAGAAGATTATACGTTCTGATCGAAGGTTTACAATCCAATTTCTTCAGGCTTCTCATGTGTTTATACACGTTAACAGCTCTACTCAACTTCCTTGCTTCTGTGAAGAAGTATATCATCGTGTTGTAAAGAGCTTCGGAACCAAACGAAGGAATCGCCATCGCCTCGTTGACGATCAGATCCATTTCATCGTACATTTTTGCAGCGCCGAGCTTCTTAATCGTAACATGGAATGTAGATACATCGTGTGTAAATCTAGGTTGTTGAGACGCCCAATTGAACAACTCCAAACATACCAATGGATCTTCTTGTAGATTAATTAAGTTATGAAGGTCTTCAGGTTTGAATCGAGGCAGAAGCTGTGAAACGGCTCGACGAAATTGGAATTCGTCTAGGGTTGGCTTTGACGCAGCTAAATTTCTTCTGTTGACTCTCTTCCAGTATGTTGTTGATGAAAAGGGGGATGCTAACATGTATCTGCTGATTAAATAATTAGAGTTCTGGGGAACTTTGACATTGATACAGATTTGCTTCAAACATCGTAGGGATTTCAATGAGATACTCATTGTATCTAGAATATATATAGCAGTGAACCAGATTACAAGGGTTGACGAGCTGAAGGCGAGCGCCGAGGCGGGTTCCTTCACGACGGTATTCGGCGGGAACGAGGGAGGAAGGGGTGGTGCCGTGGTGGTATGGGGCCGCAGGGATGGGAGGGGCCGACAACAGGGATTGAATGTGTATATTACAGTACTACAAGTTATTGCCAGTTTGCTACAGGTGCGAATGGGTTGACGGGTTGGGCTCGAGTTATTTCTTATATAGTTTAAGAAAAAATCAAATCAACATGACTATTGTTTAATATGTTTTATGTTTAGATTATACCGTATGTGCCCATGAATGGACGTTAAAACCGACGTGGCTCACCCTTAATGGCATGGTAAAGGTGTCAAAACACTATCCCCTACCCGTTATATAATCCCCCGTTGCCATCTTAACGACTCGTAACACATTTTTTCAATTTGGAATGGTCAAAAGCCCTTGTGAACCACTAAATTTGAATATAAAAATTCACATATTAATTTTTACTATCTATATATATGCTACCGAAGGTTCATATAAACTTTTCCAACATCTCAAATCCACTTACTGCCTTGACCCAGAAAGAGGTGACCTTCAACTGGGGATAAACAAAAAACTGTCTTCCAGATGCTAAAGCAAGCTTTATGCAGTGCTCCGATTCTATCTCTTCCGGAAGAAACGGAAGACTTTGTGGTCTACTGCAATGCATCCAAGCAGGGTTTAGGTTGCGTACTCATGCAACGGGGAAATGCCATTGCCTATGTTTCAAGACAACTTAAGGCTCATAAGGTCAACTACACCACACACGACCTTGAATTAGGGGGCAGTAGTGTTTGTCTTAAAGGTACAAAGTGTACGATCTTCACTGACCATAAGAGTCTCCAACACATCCTCAATCAAAAAGAGCTCAATATCAGGAAACGACGATGGATAGGGTTACTAAATGATTACAAATGTGAAATTCATTATCATTCAGGCAAGGCCAACGTGGTAGCAGATGCTCTTAAGTCGAAAGGAATACTTGGGCTGCCGCGTAAAATCATTGACAATGACTATTCATTCACATTTGTCTATGCGGATCAAGGAGGTGCAACTTGAAGCCTTGAAACCTGAGAATATTGAAAGTGAAGCATTGCGATGAATGGATAAAAACCTTGAGGTTAAGAGTGACGGAGCTCGTTTCCTCATGGATCGAATCTGGACACCGAGATTTGGCGGGTACAGAGACAATCCATAAACACTTCGAGAACTTGGCGTACAATTGTTCCTGTCTCAATACTCCCAAAAGCTCTCGAAGGTGCTTCACGTGCTGCTCTCTAGTATTAGAATATACCAAGTTATCATCAATGAACACAATGACTGATCGATCAAGCGTTGGCCTGCATACCCAATTCATCAAATCCATAAACACTGCAGGCGCATTGGTGAGCCCAAATGGCATCACCACTAACTCGTAATCCCCATAATGAGTATGAGAAAACGGTCTTCTCTATGTCCTCTTCTCTCACTCTCACCTGATGATACATCGACCTCAAGTCGATCTTGGAAAACCAAGATACACCCTGCAACTGGTCAAAAAGGTCGTTAAGCCACTGAAGAGGATGACGGTTCTTCACCGTTAACTTGTTCAACTCCCAGTATTAAATGCACATCTGGTGTGAACCATCCTTCTTCTTGACGAACAGTATTGGCGCTCCCTATAGTGAATTGCTCGGTTTGATGAGATGCTTGCCTAAAAGCTCTTGAAGGTGAGAGGATAACTCCTGCATTTCGGGTGGTGCCGATACGGCGCCTTGGCAATCGGAGCCTGGCACTAGGTCAATCCTGAACTCAACCTGCCTCTCGGGAGGCACACAGGGCAACTCTTTCGGAAACACATCAGCAAACTCTCTGACAACCAGCACCTCTGAAACCAAAGTCTGCTCCCCTACCCGAGTATCAACCACATAGGCAATATAACTCATACACCATGCTAAATATATTGCCGAGTCCTGGCTGCCGAACAAAACCCTAATCCAATCTCGGTACCCTCTCCGTAGATGACCATTTCTCCCCCATTTAGGGTTCAAACTATCACTCGCTGACACTCGCAATCGATCATAGCACCAAACTCGCTCAATCAATCCATCCCTAATACTAGACATACATCCCCCATAGGGATAGGGATCCAATCAACCGAATAAGGAAATCCTAGTCCATAATAGACTTAAACCGGGATTTTAGGGTTTCCAATTCTTTTGTTGACCATTTTAAGTGTTTGTATAGAGCGTTTGATGGAATTTTGTTGTTATTGAATAAACGTCATGCATACTTTCAAGTTTTAGTTACCAATGTTATCATTGTTAATGTTTACAAAAGCATTAGAATTCCTAGTTGTGACATCTATGACTTCGGATCAGGTTAACGCTAGCTCTTGCTGCAAAGCCTCCTTGTCTCTCCTGTGAGCAACTTACAAATCGTGGATACTATATGTGTTTGTGTTTGTGTCAGCATCTAGTTCGATGGTTTGCTGAATGGATTTCGTTCCAAGCTCAATACTTCGGGCCATACGATGAACCAAGATGGGAAGAATTATGTCTATAGATCCTCCCTCGCTTATGTTGTAGAAGCTTCGGTCTCTGTTGTATGGTTAGGGTTGACATTGCTCACGGCTCCACCTACCCAAGTTCTCAACCCACTGAGGTGTCAGGCCATGAAAAGTTGGACGAGGGTTAGGATTTGGAATTGGAGCCACTAAGGGTAAATCATTGAC